TTGTATAACTGAGTTCGGTCAGTTCCCGCATTTAAATTGGATGGTCGAGCGAGCACAAAACGGACACCATCATTCAACATGCATACTTGTCTTATCACAAAAGCCATCAATCTGAATGTAATTTTTCTCAGAAAATCCGCAACGAGAGTGAGATGGACTTGGTCGAACGGCAAAAAGACCGTATGGAACCACAGTACTATTGACGTCGTCGTCTATACGATTCGGTGCACGGGCTATAGATTAGATCACATGTTACAAACGAGCAAACAATCGCCTGCTCGCCCACATTAACACACGTTTATCAACCGTTTCGTTATTTTATTGATTGACCCATCAGTTGGTTAAGAGAAAAAGGAGAGGGAAAACGAATATATGTGCCCGGGGGTGCATTTATGTAATAAGCAATTATCCGTATCGGTACAATGGCCTCGTCATTCATGGACTTTCAGAAACATTCAGCAGCTTCCTCCATGACCGCAGACTCAGGCATGATTGTTCATCACTAAGGCTTTCACTAATGTCCCACGTCCAATCGCACTACGAAATACACTGTCCACTCCAATCAAATTCCCCGAGTCTAGGAAATGAGCGTTAATCGAATGTTCCAAATTATCTGTAGCTTTTCAGTTAACGTGAATCAACAATCCGAGTCGGTCTGACGAGCGGCAAGAACCGCGAAACCGGTCGTGTGCTTCCAGGGAAATTTTGTCCAGTCATTCATTTACTACTTAATATGAAATATATATATATATATATATGCGTGTGTGTATGTGTGATTACGTGTTTGAGTCGGATATAACGTTACTTTCGGAAGAACAAAATCGATAGCACACCACAGGCTGACGTATCCGATACGATCGGTGAGGAATCTATCTCCGTTTTGGAAGTACTACTTGATGAAGGCCGCTGCGCAATGCTGTCAAATAATGAATTATGCAGTCCTCGAGCAATTGCTTTCGAACCATTTTGCAACTAGAATGTCCCAGAAAGTGAAACACTTTACACACACCGGAAATGAAGGAACCCTTTCTCCTTTTTATGTTTGTGGCCTCCCAACAAGCGAAATTTCTCGCTTCGACAAGTTGACCTGTTCTTCTAAGGTTATCCTTCGTTCTAGTTCTTCCAGGTCGGTCTTCTTCGTTTCCACGATTGCTGCAATCAGGCGAGTGCCAAAATGTCTAATGAACATCAGTCCAACCGTTGTACGCCAACTACTAGCTGTGTGAGATGTGGTTCAGCAAGTTGACAGTGCCGTCAGAAGTGCGATATTAGACTGTGGTTTTATGGTTTATTCACGGGGTTTCATTAGTGTATTTATAGCTTTATCGCTTTGATGTGATTATTGACACACTTGGCATTCTCGGATTGCAGGTCCATTGCTAGAGTCTCCCACTGCCGAATGAAACAAGGCGAAGATTTGAATGAGGTAGTCATATCACCCGCATCTTTCAACAGCGTGTAACAACTCTGAGATCACTCGAAAAGCGTACTGAAAAGGACTTGAGGCTCACGCAACTACGGCAGTTTTTCTTGGACAAGTATCCAGATATGTGGTTGCATTTATGAAATCATCTCGATGTATACCTTTCGCCTGCGCTTGCTTATTCATTTGGTTTTGTGGACTACTTGTACGCTTTTACTCGCTCTCTGGTCTGCATACCAGCTACACATGTACGGTCTGTAATTATGCTAATCGCCTACTTTATTTACTTGTGACATATGTGTGGAAGATTCCAAATGGGTGGGAGGAGAGAGAATGGGAGAGTTTGACTGTTCGGAGGGTTAAGACCGCTTGAAAGACGGAGGTACGAATCGTACTGTCAAATACTTGACTGGGACGGCTAGCTTCCTGTGTGTGGGAAGAGTGAATATTATGTCAAATAAATTGAAGGTGGAAAAGATTTTAAATCGTGAAAGGCAGCATGATTGTGGTAGTCCCACCAGGAGACGTTCTCAGAGTCGGAGTCTGATAATTCACTGATCGCAGTACATTCGCGATCGATGTTGAGGCTTTTATGGTTGTTAGTGTGGTAAGAATAATCTAGTGTGTCATTGTCAACCAAGGAATAAATAGGGCTACATAGAAGGCCGTTAATAAATAGGAGTAAAATTTCCGAGCATTGGTGTTTGCAAGGAATGGTTGAAATGAGATTCCATCAAATCATTCGGGGAGAGATCTCTCACTGAAGAGACTTGACATCTGATGCATGAGGGCCAATTGGGCCTAAACGAGGACATTTTCACCACTCTATCTTCGTGCCAAACTTACGCGAAAGGATTGCGAAATGTATAGCCAAACTAGGTGTGTATCTTTTTGGTCATTGAGTGTGGTTCACCAAGAGTTTTTTCTTTTGCATTTTTACTTCCTTTTGTTGAATACACAATGGTACAAATTTCAGGAAGGGGGGGGGAAGCGGCCAATCAAAGGGCTGCCGTACAACACGCAATGGGGAAAGTCAGACGTTGGTGGTGGGATTCGAACATACACCCTCCGGGGTGATAATTTGGTGGTGTTACCACCGGGTCACCACCGCTCCAAGTGCTAGCAGATCACCGGTAGAAAAACGCGATCGGAAACCGCATCGGCGGTTGCTCAATACTCCACGTTCAACGAGCGCACGCTGTTCGTTGGAGATGATGATTTTGAATACCTTTAAAATAACATTACGGAGAGGTATTGGACGTTAGTTGTTCCGATCAATAATGTGAATGCGTTTGAAGATAAGAAAAACCATGCTTTTGCTCTAAGAGGTCGGAAGAGTAGAACGGTGGAGAAAATGATGGGAAAGACGACTTGAAACAGAAGCTAACTCGGGTGAACCTATTTCGTGGCTGGTTTTTGTACTTTCAGAGAGCACAGCGCTTGATGGGAAGGGGTAGGTCTCGTTTTGGAGGTTTGCCAACGATGTCCTCACATTGTTACTCTTGTTTATTTTCCCTCATCATATCTGCATGCCGGTCTGGTTCTGTGATATCCAGAATATTTTATACCAACACTTGATTATATACATTCATACAAATAAAGAGGGGTTCTAAAGATTCTTAACTTCGTAGGCTCCGTATTGTCCCGTTCTTAAGTTCTTTTTAAATTTATTATTATTATTTATTGTACTGTCTATTAACCAGTCAATCGAGAAATATACTTTGTGCGTTCGGATTCATGTTCGTGGTGTAAGAAAAAAAATTGGTGTCACATTGCACAGTTCATTTTCTCCATACAACTGATTCTTTTGCGGTTCAGGATCCAAACCTTGGTCACTGGGTACGGCCGGTCATTCTCCCCGACCGTCAACACATACAGGGTTGACAGTGACCTTGGCTCAGATGGCCACATTCAACTGCTTCATCACGCCCACCACACCAAAGGAACTGACGGAAAAGTTTCGTGAAGTATCCACTCGATTGTTAGTCTCGTTTGCTCGTTTGGAGGGTACGAATGTGGCCCAGTTGCTCCGCAAGAGTGTCGAAGCTCGGGACTGGCTCAAAAGTTTGGAACCTCGGTCAGTACGTTCTGTGGTCAAACGAGTAATTGAGGACTTGAACGAACTGGACCACCAGGTACCCGCTTCTGCGTTCTGCTAATTCCCTTCGGATCACCTTTTCCGTTCATTCCTCGTGGGTTCGCCTGTTACAAACGAAATGATTTGTAATACTGCTCGTGTATCTATCTTTTATCTGTTTTGTTTCTTAGTCTAATCAATACACATATCGGAATCCGCGTCTCTAGTCTTCGTATTACTTACACAATTGCTACGTTATTCATATTCTGTTCGGTGATCGAAGTCGTAACAAAACGGCTTTTGTTAAACATCCCTGGTGTACCAATCTGCGTTGACCTCCAATTATTGCTCCAATTTCTTGCATTACTACCCCCAATATTGTGTACCCACACAGTCATATGATCGTGTCTCGTGGTCGTCTTTTGTGTGCAGTCGAGTCCATATCACGTGTGGTAGAGTGTCGATCAATTGGTTTCCTTAATATTTTTCAATGATGTGATTGTTTTGCGACAGCATTTTCTGGCGGATAATTTTAATTTTTAGATGAGGTAAACGAATGCTTAGTTTGACGAAACGGGCCGAGTTACCTAAAATTTCTAGTCATACATATGCGCTAGGGACTGCATGATGCTGTTTATTTGTTTGACACTCATAAAGAAACCCATTGAGTTTCTTCTTACAGAGAGAAAGAACTGAACAAGTCATTTCCGATGACACCCGTCAGTAGTCTCGCATAGTGAATAAGGTTCTGGCCTCGATTGTTGTCTGTTTTTGGAGCAAATAAAACTGGGAAAAATAGACGAATGTGATAAGAATAAAATTAAGTTCTACAGGTGTGTAGTTGATTAGGTTGAGTGGATAGTGCAAATGTCTTCCGCCATCACTTGTGTGGGTCCTGTAAGTCGGAATGATCGAATCGGTGTGTTTTGTTCCTAAAGCATCTTTTCCACCTCGAACTACTGCTCATGTCGCATTAGACACGGGGAGCTTATGTTGCGGTGTTTTTCTTGCTTACAGATCAGTCAACTTCTGCCTTTGAATGCGCGCAACAAGGATCGTGGAAGCGAGTCTCGTTCCACTCGAAGTGGATTTTCAAGCCTCCGTCCGAGTAGTTCTGCTCACTTTCTGGAAGCACAAAATCGTGTACATTCATCCGGTACTTCAAGTGCCACTGAACTAGATCCGGCACTGGCCACACAGTTGCGTCGGTTGTTCACACAGCGAGTAGATATATTTGCTTCAGTCGAGGCGAATTGTGAGTCTCTGTTGTTGGGAATCATCAAAATCGGTTTGAAAGTAAGTTGTGTATCGACCGGTTTCCGATGATCTATTTCCATTTCCATTCGGTTAATCTAGAAGCGAACGTGTAATCATCCGGGAATATGTAGCGATCATTTGAGTATTGGAAAAGGCAGTCAGTCAACTAAGGCGTATTCTGTGTTTGTCGATAACTAGAGGAGTATATGCGTTGCATTCATTGAATATTTTCGGGAACTACTAGAAGTTTATCCGCTCACATCTCGTGGAAACATTGCATCTACAAATGATCTAAACGAACTAACGGCTGGTTTGGTTAACGGTCAACTATGAACTCATCGTCGAAATAAAAAGTTGAACTACGGCAAATGGCTTTCTTCTTTTTGACTTGTTCGCTGAGCTTCGCAGTTTATTGCCAAATGTTGCATCATCTACTGAGGTGTCACAGCTTGTTTTCTATCGATGTTCTGCTTCTGTCTGTTCATGTATAAGTTCTTCTTCTTCTTCGGTCCACAATTTTCATTGTTTTCATCTCACTTCTAGCAGGAAGAGAGCTTCCTTTTCACATTGGTTAACTTCCTTTGATCCGTTGTCGAGACATGGCTTATCCCGCCTTTTGTTATGATTGCTCTTTGAATTGTGTCTGACACGCGATTCAGTTCGACGTGTCTGTCCACCGAGTAGTTCGCAGAATACCAACCTCACAATATTATCTGGCATGTTTTAACCGAGCTTGAACATTGGTTCTCACTGATCCGAATTTAAACTGATATCCTCGATCTCCTTGGAATGAAATAAGTGAAAGGTGGCTATCATTAGTAATCTTCCAAATCTTCTCGGTTTTATTCAATACTTTCTCGTGTTCTGACGATCCTTGTCACGAACTGTTTCGTTGCAGACTTTGGTCGAATGTGTTCGATTGCAGACGTTTGGAAAATTCGGACTGCAACAAATTCAAGTGGATTGCCGATATCTGCAAATTCACCTGTGGCACTTTGTGAATGACGAAAAGTAGGTGTCCCATTACGGGTTTTCTTCCCCTTGTTTCTCAGGTATTTGATGTGTTTTTGGTCTCAATCGGTTTGAAAATGCACCGACGCCAAGTGTCGACTGATGCGGTTGCCGTCAAGTGATAATTTAGATGGAAGTTATATATCCAACAATTGGATAGTTTGGATGACACCAATATAATTAACTCTGGATTCTCATTTTAAAATGCGTGGACTATGATCCTAGTCCCATAGGTGAAATTAAGTAAATTTAGCCATGCATAATACTAGTGTGATTCATGCACGGTAGACGAGATAGGACAAAGGCGGGGCTGTTATACAGTGTTGTCGCACATATAATCACTTTCTGGAACATTGAACTATTCCACTTTAAATCGCTATGCTACATAGTGTGCGAATTAGTTACTCACCGAGCAAATTTTCTCCGCCTACGAAACTCCGATATCCGAAGCGTTGTGATATTCCACAGTTAGTGGATTGTCTATATCTCAAAAACAGTGTTCGTTTTCGAACTACGTATATCTGCATCCATGTCACTTTATTTATCCTTTTATGCTTAACGCAGTGCAAAGCAGCAGAAGCCTAGTCTTCCGATCGGCTAGGAGTGAAGCTTATGGTCGAGGTTGCACTTAATGAATAGGTTATGGTTGACCAAATTGAGTACGATATCGACCAAATTGAGCAATAAAAAACGAACGAATCACGCATAGTATGTTACTTTAGTGTGACTTACCCCTTTGCATGGATGAGTCACCTTCACATATTTCTAATGTTGACTGCCCTTGTACATCTTTTACCGGTACTATCGGCTCGTAGTGCTAACCAGATTCGGAGGCCGTACACAGCTTTCAGACCCAGGTGTTTTTCTTTTTTGACTGGTGATCCACTTCTCCAATGAACAAAATCGTTACCCGAACAGAGGGCTGAGAAAAAGTTTGTTTCGTATTTACGCAAAAGGACAACTCCAAAGTAGACAGAATAGATGCGATTCCAGTGGAACAAAACGAGAAGTCTCCATTAGGACGTGTTCGGAAGAATATTTGATTCTTAGAATAATGTTGGTTCAGTAAACTATATCGTCCTTTGTAATTCCATATCATCGGTGCATGTTGACATCAAGCCCTGTGGATGTCATAAAGCTTTCGTTTTAAGGCTAGATTATGAACTAAAATCAACTGGACTAGACAATACAACCCATGTTTTCTAACACCACTACATCCGACAGCAGGTCGTTGTCCGCCAAGCTCCAAGGAAATGCGGAACGAATACTCATCTACTAAGTCTCATCACTCGTAACTCGTGAGGGTAGCTCTTACACCGTTTTGATAACGGACCCAATAATTATGAGAAATTTATTTGACTGTACATCAACCTTGTACGCATTTCCTCTGTTTAATGCGCCACTGCCTAGCCAGAGGAGTGCATCCTATTTCCAACGGACCACTGAACTCAATCAATCAAAACATTTCTGAGAAAACTGTTTTGCCAATTAGTACGTTGTCGGGACCCTGATCAAGAAGGTTAAACGGGTCTAAGGGAGTCAGGAAGCACACTTACAACTGGTCCTAAAATACTCCACTCCTAGGTGGCATGCACAAATACACATAGTCGAACCACACACTTTAAGTATGCTATAGGTTATGCTCAGATATATACGCGGAAAACAGCAGTGCTTTTAGGCTGGCAAAGAGGCAGAGAAGGATCATCGAAACCGATAGGAGACTGTCTTCTAAGGTTTCCTCAGTATTATGGTTCAGAGACCCAGAGTAAAAAATATCCACTTTAAAAAACAGCGGGCTCAGCTAGTTGATCGAGAAAACAGGGGAATGTTCCTTTTTCAGCGGTCACAATCAAAAGGAGATATGTTTTTATCTGGTTACGGGAGATGGTAGTGCACGTTAGACTGGAGGTGTCAATGGTATTAGATGATCGCTTGATTCTTCATGCAGAATAGTGTGCGCGGTTAGATGGTCATTACTGGAAGTGTTTTTTCTGCATACTAATGACCTTGTGTTTCAATCCATCCGGTACAACGGCTGATCTAATATAATTTCTGCAGTTCTGTCTCTGCGCTTCATTCGAACCAGTCGGAAACAATACACAATACAACATCTCACACAGGAAAGAAACTGACATTATCTGAGTTTTTATTTTTTCCAATCTTCCCCGTGCGTATCTATTTTCTCCACCTCCCATTTCAGATTGATCGGGATGCTATTGGACGATGTGGTTTACAGTGTTCTTCAAAGATGTGTAGACCCCCAGTTGATGGAAGACAGTGTAAGTCTTCGTGCTGACTTAGTTGGTCACATACTTATCCCCTGTGTGAATAAGCCAAGTGTTACAAAGCCAGTGATGGTATCATTATTGGGTCATTTTTATTTGGTTTCGTCTTAGATCAAATGCGGGACTGTTCCACTGGGTGACACTGAAGCTGAACCTGATCATTTTATTTACGAAACTAGGCACAACGTATTAGCATAAGCATATAGTTTGTTATCTTTTGTAATCGTTTTTAAATCTATGTTTGTTCGGTCGAATTTCAACGTCCAGAGAACAAGTCGACGGTAGATTTTATAACCGACGCAGTGAAATCGAGTGATGTTGATGGCAAGACTCGAACAATGAAGTCTCTAGAAATCGATATTTGTTGCGTATCGGAGACACGAATTCGGGATCCTAGTATTATAAGCCACCTGAGTGCACCGGGTCTGTCCTCGAGGTATTTCCTTCACACATCAGGAGTCGACGCAGCCCGCTCACTGGGTCAGCGTGGTGTAGGTGTCGTACTAAACGAAAAAGCTGAAACCTCTATGATAGATTGGATATCCGTCAATGGTCGTCTGTGCGCAATGAGGCTATAGGGTTCAGTTAGTGTTCGGAAGGAAACTAACACCAAAAGGTGTTTGTTCATAATTTCCGCGTATGCACCAACCAACTGCAGTCCCGCTTCACAAAAGGACGAATTGCACGACGTACCCGCCAAACTAATTCGGTTGAGCCGCAACTCTGATATTATAGTGCTGGCAGGTGATTTTAACTCGCAGGTTGGAAAACTGAGCGTATCCGAAGCCTGTCTAGGAGGGCACTTCGCCCTCCCCGCCCAGCAAACAGATAACGATGATCGACTACTTCAGTTCTGCGCGGATCACCGGCTGTTTTTATCTAGCAT